CAAGAGTGAGAGAGAGAAATTTAGTAAATATACAAAAATAAATAAATAAATGTAATATATGCTTATGATTTTGGTGCTTTTCTGTAGTCTCCATGGTCCTGCTAATTTATTAATTTTTTATATTTCTTCTTGAACCATGATTCAACTTCACTGGACCTCCATTTCTTACTATGCACACAGGTATAGTCATATTGTTTAAGCTGGGCTAAAAAAAATTCTGAACAAATACAGCTTGAAATAGTGAAATAATCCTTCCAGCATTCATCTCAATTCCCATCCATCAAAATAGTTCTGTTTATGACTGCTCATCTTCTCCAAAACTACATAGTCACAGTGGGAACTAGTCACTTACTGTTGGTTATACTGANCCTCAGAATGGCTGTGATAATGCGTGTGTAGGAAACCAAAATGAGGGAAAAGGGAAACATGATAAAAAGTAATGTGGAGGCAACTGCTTGCATTTCATACATCGTTGTATCCTCACTGACTAGTTTCAACACTGGAGGACCATCACAGAAAAAATGGTCTACAGTGTTTGGTCCACAGAAAGGAAGGGCCATCATCCAAGCTGTCTGTAGCATAGACACAGGAACACCAGACATCCAAGAGCCTACAGCCATCCACAAGCACAGCGACCTGTTCATTATGACCGAATAACGGAGAGGGTTACAGATGGCCACAAAGCGATCATAAGCCATCATAGAGAGAAGAAAACATTCTGAGCTGCCAAAGAAAAAGAAGAAGTACATCTGGGTACCACATCCTATGAAAGAGATGATTTTCCTTGGGGACACTAGATCTACCAGCATCTTTGGCACCATCACCAAGGTGAAACAGACTTCAAGAAGTGATAGGTTTCGGAGAAAGAAGTACATGGGTGTTTGAAGAGCAGGATCCACACTGGTAACCATGACAATAAGAAAGTTGCCCAACAAAGTGACTGCATAGATGGCCAGGAACAAAATGAAGAGGGAAATTTGCATCTCAGGATTGTTCGTGAAACCAAGAAGAATAAATTCAGTGACTCTGGTGCGATTTTCACAAGTCATATCTTCAGTTTCTCTC